GTTCAAAGATTTAAGTACTCGACGAAGTCTGGAAAGTCGACTGCGTGTCCGGTCCGTGCATTCGTGTGCGTATCCGTAGCATTCGGATGGTTTGAGTGGTGCTCAGCGATAATGCTCGTTTTATTCGAAAGTTCAGAGGCAGAGAAGCGGCTGATCATTATGCAGCCTGTGTTGTCATATTCCATTACCGTGGCTGCCGGTTACAGACGTCGGCTGCCGTGGTTAGTTCGAAGAACAATTCACAATGCGATACAGGAGCCGGTGCATCACCCTTCGACCGTGCTTGCAGATGACATCGATACTCGACTTCCTCCGTCGTGGCGTTTGCAGCCCCTGTTCGTCTCTCGCACGATTCAGCATCTAGCAAACTTTGCCGATCCCCGACGACTGCGAACGGATGACACCTAACACGACCAATGAAACGTGCGGCACAGCTAAAATCCGTCCGCGGTGTTTGATACGCTTTCGTTTACGGTCAAAGTGACGAGGTAGCGTGGGAATTTTTTCTCCTCTGCTTTTCTTTCTTCTCTTTTTCTTTTTATGTACACTGTTGCGCCCGTCGAGGGAATTCTTACGTTTCGTCTTTGACACTGCGCGCGCGCTGAGAGATCCGGGAACGGTAAACGAGGCACGTTCCGTTCCGCGGTTGCGACGATGGGGGTTTACAGCCTGCAAATGAGAGATGGGTTACACGCGAAATCGAACACCTTTTTGGAGGGGTGTTTTTATTTTACTGCAACTTGGGTATACGTTGTAGTCTTTGGTATTGTGGTTGGAGAGGATGGAATTTGGGAAGTTGGATGGAAATGGAAATGTAGACCTACAAGTGTCATTTTTAATGGAGTATTTTCGAGAACAGTGACACTTTGAAGTTAAGTATTTTGAGTGCAAGGGGTTAATAATCTGAAAGTTGACTAAAGTAAACGTTCATATGTCGTCACGAGTAAAAGAAAAATTTATTCCTTATTACTTAGCTAGATTCCCTTTTTGATCTCGTATATATTTTTGTATCAATTATTTCTTTTCCTCGAAACAGTATTATTATGTATATTATTCTTATTCTTTTATCAAATGTACTTCCACGTAGCAAGTACCAAATTAAGAATATAATTCATTTCCTAAAACAGAATAGTCATATTAATAACTCTAAAATAAAACATATTTGTTTTAAATTAAAATATATATTTTAATTTTGAAAAAAGTTCTTAAATTTTGCCTGTTACAATTTCCTCTTAATAACACCGATCCGCTGTTGTGTGTGCTTTGCTTCAGTTAGGTTAAATAATTTAGCTTCATTGAAATTCGGTATCGGTTGAGAACAGAATTCAGCGGCTCCACGGTTTCGTCGTATCCTGGACATCGCAGAGGGAAGCAGCCGAAATAATTCCATTCGATGAAGCGGGCGTTCATTCGGGAAAGTTGGAACCGGCCGGGTGAATGGCATTTTTATGCATATCGCAGATTGCACGGTCGGAAAAGTCAACTCGAGGCGAAATCTGGCGTTCGTGAGAGACGTGGGTCGGGGGAATAGGATACAGCTGGATATTTAACCGGGATTATGGCGGCTCGTTTGGTAAAACATTCGCGAAAGTTAAGCGCCTTTCTCGGCCGCCGAGGCTGGTCTGTTTTAGGTAGCGCCGGGGTTGCAGAGATAATTCTTATCGGGCTGTCTGGGCTGTTTAAACGCAGTTAAGCGAGCCAATTTTGATTTCTCCAGGCTCGACACGTGCTGCCAAAATGCCTTTCATAGATTTAGACAATTTTTGGACATAGAGATATAGAAAATTTTCTCAACGGTTGTCGCCAAAACTTGCGAGAAAGGCATTATTATTAACCGGACTGTAGATTTCATGCATCTATGGCGTACACTAATATCGAAAACATACAAAAATATATGTATGTGAAATACGTTTCATTACTTAATGTAACAATTCTAATATTTCGTTTTGCATGAGTACATATACCTCTCTGTTATGCTTAGCATGTATTGGTCATATATGTTTATTAATAACTGAGAAATTAAATAAAAAACTACATATATTCTTAAATTATGAATAATGCTCTATACGAAAATTCTTTATGGATTTTAAGAAAAAAAAAAATTCTAGTAACGTTGAATTTCTCACCACTGAAAATCGAACGACGATCGATCCAATACTTTATCTTTTTCATGAATTTAGAAAATCCGGGGATATATGGAGTGAAATTTTTTCAACCCGATAACGTATGAATTATTAATAATGGAATTCGCGAACGCTTGAATTGGGAAGAAATAATGCCAACCTTGAGACAGAACTCTGAAATATTTGGATGGGAAATGCTTTCGAGTAAAATAAATTGTTTGGCGATTCCATGCGTTAAGGACTTGATTAACTGTTTCCAGGTTTCTAATTTTTAACCTTTTCTTTCCTCCACTTCTGCCATATAATCACAGATAAAACATTACTGAATTATTACAAAATATCTGTACTTTCAAATCTCTGTATATGTTTTCCTCTTAGTTTTCAGTGAATGCTTTTTACCGATTGAAATGGAGCATTTAAATATCTGAAAACATGATTTACACAATTTTACAAGCGAAACATCTCGTTTCGTACAAACGTTTAATGCACGTATTTCGTTACTTCGTGTGTAATATGCTCCAATTTATATTAATGCATCCATTTGCATTAACTTTGCAACTACTATCAACGATTATTCGAACTAAACTTGCTACAACGCATTGCATTTGCAATGTTCGGGCATTGTATACGAATGGTCAACACCGCGGCACAAGTGGATACATGCTACTAGAGAGATTAGTTTACGTTCAGAGAGAAAACAGGAATTACTCAAACATTAATATTTCGCAATATGTTATTGTGTGTCGCCATGAATTCACTCGCGGAAATTTTGTTGAAGTTAACAACTCGATAATCCTTTCGAAACGCAAAATACTTTGCGATTTAAAATGACATTATAATACTTATGTTTGTAGCCTTTAGTTCTTAAAACCTGAAACAATGAGAAAAATATAATTAAATTTTTGAGAATACATTAAAATACTTAATAATATATGAAATGTATGTCAAGCTATTTTGAATGCTTGTAGAAATGCTAATGTCATGGGTCCTTAGATTAAATTAGGTTTAGGTTATAAAACAGTATATAATAATTATTTTTCTATTTTCAAAACTTTTTCTTCATTTAAGTATGTGTAATTGTCGATACAGTACATAACATTATCATCTATTTAAAGAAAAGAAAGTTCTGTCGGATTGTTTTAAAACAATAGCAATAGAAAATTTATTTCTTAGTCAATCTCTTGTTTAGGGAAGCCGAAACTATAGATTGATCATTGAATTTTATTATGTATTATAGTAATATAAGATGGAAGATAAAAATCTTATAAAAGTGGTCGAACCACTCAGGACAACCACAATGAAAATGTTTCTTTGAACCAATGTGCATCCTGCAAGTAGGAAGATAATCGAGCGGACTTTTAGGGAAGGTGCGTTCTGCGCAGAGTCGCGTAGCTTTGTATGTACGATGTGTTTGGTTAGGTTACACAAAGGATGGGTCCTGTGCCATGTCTCGTAGTGGCTACACACCCACTAGAGTCAGCTGGCTTGGTACCATGTCTAAGATTATGTTTGTACTCGCTGTCAGCAGAGAATCATCATTTTCAGGGATACAGGACCAACTAGGACGCAGATAATGTTTGCAGTTTCTTGGTAAGGGTTACACACGTATTGAAAACTAGCCTTTGACATAAAAAAGATGCTAAGTTGCTAATAATGTAAATTATTTTCCTTTAAATGAATTTCAAGAACTCCAGTTGAAACATCAATGAAACGATAATGTTCACAGTATTTTTCTATTCACTCCGAAAAGTTTAATGATAACAATAACACTCTGCTATTCTTTTTTAAAATAGACATTCTTACTTAGACTTTCTGTTTTCCTGTTAAGAATAAACTGTATATATATATATATTTGATAAATTCATAATGTATATACTATAAATCTTGAATTTGTATAATTAAATACGTATTAATTCTTATGAAATAAATATTTACTTATTAATATAATACTATTACATATACTTATGTAATCATTAAAAACCATTTATTATCTACATGTTTGATAACTTCGTAGAATCAATATTAAATTTGTATAATTCTGTTCTTCTAAGGTCTAATGAGTTTGCAAATAGATATTTATATTTACTAAATACCCAGGTCCAGGCTGGGAGCTTGCGAAAGCCAACAATTATTTTAAAGCCCGATTAAGACGCAAAGTGATAAACCGTGAAAATTCATAGAACACAAGACGTGTCAATATTTCACGTAATAAGCAGTTAATAGCTTAGCTTCATTTTCGTTCGATATCTTGGCACGATAAAACTGTGCCCCGGAATGAATTCCGTGGAGCCGTATTCAGAGCGACGCCGGAGATGCCTTTTTTCATCCTTCCTGTCTGAGACACGAAGAAAGGATATTTCGCTGACACAACGGCTCAACTGTTCTGATCACTCGAACGCATCCATTATCCACCTTAGTACTATCTAGCGCGATACAGAGACGCGCCGCAAAGGAACGAAATTAATAACTGTTTGCGGACACGTTAAGCCCCCTTACAACGATACGCTTTATTAATTCACGCCCGTTATTAGGAGCAAGACAGATTTTAACGCTATCGCGATTCCCGCGTTACACGCGTAACAAGGGCTGCCATTTTTATGATATCGTATCACACGCATCGCTTAACATTTTATGGCAAATATAGTAGCTCGTATGCGAGAAATTCCTCTTACTAACGAAATCGATTTCAATTCATTAAAATACTTGTATTATTTCTGGGGATTTCAAGATTTTTCGTATTTAAATAACAATTATATTATAGTAATTTATTCAATTGAATATTTTGAGGTAATTACAATACTTTATTGCAATTAAATCAATGTTTAATTTTATGGAAAATTAAAAATCTAATACATGTTCAATACTGTATGTTTTTAGATGTCAACATGGTGGCCGAACCCAAGCCTCACCAAACCGGACGTAAACGACAAAACGTCACCAAAACTGGCAATGATTGGTAAGTTCATGTATAGTTATTATCATCAATTCGTTTCTTAAATTCTATCATTATATTTAAGCAATATATTTAAGAGTTCTTTTAATTTTAATTCGAAGTCGTATAAAGTAAGATTAAATGAATAAATCAAACGTCATTTTATTACTAGACTAACTTGGTATCTTATTTAATCTAAGTTTATAAAATACAAATGGAAATTAACTTAAGAACTAACTCACTGAGAAATATTTATTCGCTTATCCTAGGTATAAAAAATGTTTCATTTAATAAAAAAAAAAAAAAAAACAGTTGCGTAATACAGTGTAGAAATTGAACGAACGAAATGTTTTACTGTATAAGGCAATTATTCGAGAAGAAAAATCAATGCTGGAAGTTTCTAGTGGGAGATCTAGTATAGAATCGAGAGCATTCCAATTTTTTCAACTGTATAATCAGACCTTTCTGATAGCATTTCGTCTGATTTAATTCCGGAAACGATCTCTACAATTTCCGCGACTTAAATAGATTTAAGAGTTTAATTCTTTCGGAACTGAAGCACCTTTTATAGTTTGATACTTCCCCAACGAAGAGATTAAGACTAATTAAGAGAAAAGATTCGTCCACAATTTTAAATTCTAGTCATTTCACCGCGATAAGACTTTATTCGAGCATTTTGCTAATTCCGTTGCGGACACATTTGTCCATAGTTATCGCAGTATTAGTCGCGTTTTAAATTTATATCCTCTTTGTTAAATGGCGGAATAAAAAGGATAGAGCGAGATAGATAGAATATAAAATCTATGGTCACCTTAAATTTCTGAAAGAAGGAAAGATAGCGAATAAGTGATTCGCGCATCGTATCTTTGACGTTTAAAGTCAAGAAAGTAAAAAGAGGTTATATTAAAAATCAGTAACTTCAAGATAATTCATTTATCAATTCAAATATTCATTTGCTTCTCATAAGAAATACATTTTTACTTAAACTCGAAAATAAATTCAAGTTACTGAAAGCCCTATTCAACTCTAGTCTCAAGCGTTGTTTAGACCTCTTCAGTTTTCTTTGTTAATTAGCTTAATACAACACCAAAGTATCGAACTCGTTTCCAATTATCAGTGCATATCACCAAAATTACATTTCAAATCGAACCAAAAACAACGCCTTCGGTATCGAATTAACCAAAGAATGAAACCTGCCGCGCGTACGTATGAGCAGTCTGCAATTTTCCACCGATTTCGATCGCACAAAAAGGTCCACGGCAACGCGGAGGCGAGGGTAACCACATGGGGGGATCCGTGGCAAGCAGAGTCAGTCGGAAAATTGGCGTGGAGTGTGTCGATTGTGTCGGTCGGGCCGATGAAAAATGGCGTTCTTCTCGGTGTTCCTGAAATCTCTAATGTCGCGCGGGACTTGGCAACCGGCCCAGCCTTACGGATCACATCTTTGGACGGGAAAGTTCGTCGCAAGCCGCGCATAAATCTTCCAAGGTAGACGGAGAACTCGCGTTTTATTCGAAGGGCCACCGCTTTATCCTGTCGCCGTAGCCCCGGCTGAACGGGGGGTGGAATCGCCTTAAGAACAGCGCCAAACAAATGCTAAACTCGATATAACTGGCTCCGGTGTTGAGCTTCTCGGCGGGGCGACGTGCTGAAAACGTGTTTTACGCGACGTACGTGACCATGAAATTGCGAGTCCCTCCGAGCACGACGGGACTCGCGGGCCAGAGATGAAGCAGCGATAATCACGGCGATAATCCTCCGTTGTATGCGATTGTTTAGCATTCGAGACGATTAAGCTGATGTAAACTTAGGTTGGAAACGAGGGGTTTCGAACGGTCGTCGCGCTAGGAACCTTTCGAGACTAAAGAGGAAACCCAGGATAAGATTATAGCAGTGTTCCTCGTATGTGGGACTGTCCAAGATTGCAAACAAGGGTGTAGTTTTTATTTGCTTGGGTCGTGAGGGGCTTGAAATATGATAGAATTGATCCAGGTGATCTTTATTTCATATTTGGAGCGATTTAGAATCACGTTGTTTAACCTTTGACTTTGTGTTGAGGAAGGATTACTTTAATCCATTTTATGTGGTTACTTTTTGAATTTTTGTATTTGACGTGATTTCTTTCTATTTGGTATTGTGAAGGAATTTATTATACACATGTCTTTCAAAATTAATAAAAATAACAATCAATTCACATGTAGTTTACTTGTGTTCATTTTCAAATTTCTTGGTGTGCGTCATTTCGTCGAAAATTTCATGTTAGCTAATGCGTCTGACCTATGCTCTTTATTACTACTTGAATTACTCTTACAAGGGAACATATCCAACTGTCCGTCTCCGATTTTGTTGAAACTTGGTGGGTACGTTAAGCAGGTGGAAATAAGGGATACTTATTTTTTTATAGCTGCCCAATCGCAAGTTTAGGGGTTGAAATCACTCCTTGAAGTTTCAGCAGAAAAATGCTATCTCGAAAACTAAAATAGATGTAAGAAATCTTCTTAGAGAAAAGTTTCATGGTTTCATGAGGTGAAACACAAAGAGGACACACATTTTGTAAAATGTAATTTGTTTATAACAAAAAAATTTTTTGTTACATTATTTTAAGAGATATACAAATTTATATAACGACAAAAATGAATGGAAATTCCTACTCCTACTTTTTCAACCCCTAAACTTGCGATTGGGCAGCTATAAAAAATACATAACCCTTATTTTCACCTGCTTAATGTATCCACCAAGTTTCATCAAAATCGGAGACGGACAGTTGGATATGTTCCCTTGTTAGTGAAGATTGAAAGTGGACACTGACTAAGGACTGTGGACACTTATTAAAGATCGTGTCGATAATTGAAACGTTTGTCTTGATCCAATGCCAAAATCGTGATTAAATTACAATATTCGTTTATGGCTATTCCTTAGGTAGTTTTCGCTCCCGAATGCAGATAAAACTGCTGTTCATGGCTTGAAGACTATCGTTGTCGGGGAGTCAGAATTTCCCAGGTTTCTGTGCGGAAAACCGAGACATCTCGTATCGCGTCATCTGGTTTCACGATCTGCCGCTCAAAGAAAACGAGGCGACCAACTCTGGCAACTGTTAAAGTTCACGAGTAAAGCGTACCGAAACAACGATTGTTCAGAGAGGACAGTGTTTCGGTGACTGTGCGAGACACGCTGTCTTCCCATGGCGAGATAGTCGCTAATATAAAACGGCAGTAAAGCGCGATTGTTAAAATTTAACGATCCGACCGTTTTTACGCTGAAATATTTTCAGTGGGAAAATGAATTTTCCAGCGACTCGTAGCGCTTAAAATTTAGTTCGCGTTAGCGCTTAAACGAAATACAATTTAAATAACTGCATTAAAGATAACTATTATTGCTTGCGTTCATTCTCTGTGTCACAAAATACAAAATTTGACCGTCATATTTGACCAAACATATTGCACTGTATTAAAATTGGTGTACGCGAATGTGCATGAAGAAATGGCGATGGTTTGACGCAGAGGGAAACGAAAATATTGACATTTTAAATATTTCGCGTGACACACGGAATTTTCAATTCCAAATCGTTCCTAATTTCAAGCTGTGCAACGTATCAACGTGAATAGAAAACTGGATAATTATAGAAACTATTTAAATTAACGCAATCTGTTATCTAAACATTTTAAACGCTCATATTTCGGGCGTGTTCCATCGCGTCCGTTGAATTATTAAAGACAGCTATTTTGAACGCTTTCACCCTTTGAAAATATTTAAATGCGAGTAGAACATTTCGGTGCAAGTCCATCCGAATCGCAGCTCAGTTTAAAATTGTTCCGCTTTATTTATACAATTCTCTCTATCGCGCCGCTGAGTTTTAACAATTTCCCCATAAAAAAAATTTGTCATGCTGTTCCAAACTTTTCAGAAATACATATGGTGCAGGAATGTAATACTATAGTGTATTATCAAAGTTTAAATGACTAGAGGATTTACGGAAATCTCAGTTTAACGATTTCACAGTTTATGTGTCCACAAATGTATTAGTAACATTGTTCTACGGTGTGGTTATACTTTTGTTTGTTACTCTGTAATATATTTTTATTGCTCAATTTCACACTCGTAAAATTATCTCCAACATCTCAGTAACTTTTCTGAGTTTATAAACATTGTGAATTAGTTGAAATAATTGCATCTCTCAAAATTGTTGAAAAGATTCGATTCAATTCTTTACAATATAGAAAAATGGTCAAATTTAGTTAGAAATATACACTATCTCAATACATTCTAAGAACATTTAACATTTTCAATAAATCTCCACCATTTATCTCCAGATTTATCTATCACTTATAAAGTACTAATACTTTTACTATGTATCAAAATCCATAACATGTTGAATTTTGAAGTGACCACGAAAATAGAGTTAATGAGTCTAAATAATTTCAGTAGTGTATATTTCTAACTCTGCCGTTAGAAAATTTTAGATATTCGTGTAAATTAGTGAAATATTGACATTACATGGTAGTACCAAAATTTTGTCAGCGTATTCCACAATGTTTTGGTAGGACCAAATAGCAGTGAATATCTCGCAAAGGGAATAATAGCGAGAACGAACAAAATCCCGTACGATCGCTTCTCGTCTACCGATAAAAATAATTGCTTGTACACGCAGCAGCTGTCCTCTTCATCAGACGCACGTGCCCATTGTCTGTCAGACGCGTTTGCGAAATTGTCGGCTTTATAACGTCACGTCATTTACCGTCGAGCCATCTTGGAACAGGGCGAAGTTGTTGTCTGGCTAACACGACGTTTAAACTCTTCTGTCCATCACGAAATGCAAAGATAACATCAAAATTTTTGGAAAAAGACACGTGGATAACAAACGTGGATCAGAAGTTCATTAGAAATCTTATGAGTAAAAAAAGTACGCTGCTATTATATAAAAATAACGTTTATCCTCTGTTCCAAGTCCGTATTGAATAGATGGAACTGAATTGTACAAAAGTGCCCAACAAAGTAGGACAATGTTAAAGGAACAATTTAAAGAA